GTGTGGGAGCTGCGTGCGCGCTCTGCGTCATGACGTCCCCTCCCCCACTGCGTGCGGCGCCGGGCTACGGGGTGCCGCAGCGGTCCTTGCAGGGTGCAGCCAGGGGCTCCGCTGTGCCGCGGCCAGCTCGTAGCTGGCTTTGGGAGAGGGGGTGCTCAGCCCGCAAGGGTCCGGGGGGGTTGGGTCTCCTGAGCGGGGGGAATCTCCGGGAGGGGATCTTCTTCCTTGTGGGGAGGCTGGAGCAGGAGGCTAAGAAGCGCTGCTTGGGGGCTGCAGCTCCTGAGCTGAAGGCGGCCGCTGCTCGGGGGAGCTCTGACCCAGCGGGGGAGTGGGGCCCCCGGAGAGGCGAGGCTCCATCTCGGCTGTCACAAAGCGCTTCCCTTGGAAGGATGAAGCCCACCACCAAGGGCTGCGCTAAAGGTAACGTGTTTGCCCCTGCGATTGTGGGGTGGGATGGGATGGGGGCAAGGAGGCTTTAGGAGCTCCCCTTCCTCTCTTCTCCTGTGAAGGTGCTGCGGCCTCCATGTGTCTACCCAAGAAGAGATGAGAAGGATGCGAGTGCTGCAGAAAACAGCTTTCCTCCAGCCCCAGCTGTGGCTCTTCCTCATCAAACAGCGTGTGTAAGGGGCACTGGGCTCACACAGAAATCTGCTATATTGGGCACACCTGATGTCAAAGAGTTGTCCCGTGTGCATGATTTGGGTGGTACAAGATCCTGGGGTGCCGTTGGAAAGGGCTGGGAATTACCTGAACATCCCCTTCCTCACTGAAACTCAGTGGCATCCAAAGCTCAGGAGGTGCTCCAGGGCTAGCACTTTCAACACCTTTTTATATGCATTGGTTAACTAAATACTCTCCTAGCCACTATATTAGTGCCCTTAACTCCAACATGACAATAACTATAAGGATATTAAGCATGATCCTATGGCAAGTCATACTGGTTCTTACCTACTTCTACCTGAACAGCATCCCTTGTCCGTAACAGCATCACAGCCCGTGTTCTCTTCACTTCTGTAACAGTGTCAAATTCTCTTGGTCAGACCATTGGAGGCAGAGAGCCCAGGAGGCAATAGGAAGCCCACAAATGGTACATGGGGGGAGGAGGAGAATCCCCTTGATGGGCTGGGATTAAATGACACTACAACTAGCACTAGAAATAATCCACACCTGGTAGCACTTAAAACTGACATTTGTCGAGTATGAATGGTCAGCAGCCCAAGCTAAAACTGAACCAGCTCTGACTTTTGAAGCAGAACAGCGTGAAGGTAGTGACTGCTCTTTTGTCACTGACTGTAGTTCTGTAGAACCCACCACAGTAAGAATGAAAATCTTCACAAAGACTGGAAATAAATATGGTGCAGCGTCTTGCTGGTGAAGAAGGCCGTAGAGAATGTTTTGTATCTGGTTGAATTTCAAGAGGCCAATTCATCTGAGACATACTAGTAAGGGAAGGCAGAAATCAAAGCCTGAAATTGGTGTCCTGTAAGCTTTTGGGGGGGGCAAACATTGTCCTGTTCTGGACAGTGCCCAACACAACGTGCCCTGTGATTTGGCTTCCAAGGTGTTCCATACTACATATCAATAGGGACTAATCTATGCACTGTTTTTGTACTGGGAAAACGTATTCCAGGTAGTAGTGTGAGACCTTTTATTTTCAATGGAAAGAGTAGCAGTCTAATCCCTAGTGTAGATAAAGGATGGCAAAAGATCCCTTATCTCTGTGGCAGGGGTGTCAAACTCATTCGCTCCTGTGTCCCCTGCTGCTGCCCCCCCCAACCCCTGCAG